ATGTGAGACCTATCGTGCAGCCCACGGGCGAACGCCCCAGGCGGATATGTGATTATTCTTGTGTTACATTATACATACGAAGACGGTTACAAACCAACTTGATACGTGCGGTGCTGAACGTGCTTCCTTGAATTCAAGGCCGCGCGCGCGAACGGCGTTTTCGCGAGGGACATGTCTATTGGAAGCGGCACTTTTATCTTTGGTAGGCTCTCGCAGCGCCAGCGGTCCGCCCGGGCTGTGCGACCACGGCGCGCTGCAGTGATGCTCCACAGTCTCTGCTGAGGTGCTGCCGGCATTTTATTTCGTGAAGGGCCCTTGCACGCGGCCTGCAAACAGTAACAGAACACGCTGTGCAATTGGCGCAGGGTATGGCTCTCTGGTGCACACACCCGGCTTCCGCTTCAGGCGGCGCGTGGAAGGGTACATTTCTGGATACCAGCGGGTCTTCTGGCAGGGCTCGACCGACCACAGGCGCGCCTTGCGTTGTGCATGGCGGCTGACCCGATGACATCTGGGCGGTGCATAGCTGCGGGCTTGCAATCATGCTGGCAGCTGCCCTAGGAAATTGTTTAGGCAGCACTGCTAGTCCATTCCACGCTCTGCTGATCACTCGGACCCTGCCAACCTGACTTTGTTCCTTGTTTTTCGTGCTGACAATTGCAGGGGGACGCCGGAAGCGCCCGGCCGCACGGTCACACTGACGCCAGTGGAGGGCGCTCGGACGGTGAGTGGTGGTGCAGCACAGCAGCACACCCATAAGAGGCACCTCAATGGCGGCTTGTTGTTGGTTTTCGACTTGAAATGGGTCTGTCGCACCAATGGCTTGCTTCCCATCCGACCCCGTGCTTTCGCAGTGGGGAGTGGCGTTTGAGCTGGAGGGGAACGAGGAGGAGGTGGCATGCACCATCAAGGTATGCAGCTGACGTGCCATGGGGGAGGGCTGCGTTGGGACACCTGCTCCCGCCATGCATACGCACATATGCACCCCTGGATTCATGCGCATGCAGTTGCTCAAATGCACCCAGCGTCAGGCCTTGTCCCACCCCCTCTCCCCTTGCCCTTCGTTGCTGGCCTGACGCATTATGTGATGCCAACTTTGTAGTACCTGGAGTGGCGTGAAAAGCAGTACGACGTGCGCAAGTTTGTGGATGTAATCTCCAAGACTGGCGAGGTGCTCGTCACAGGGGCGCTCTGTTACATAGCCACTGACTCGCCCGCAAACGCCAACTGGCTCGGGCCGGCGCCGCTGCCGGCGATCGCAGCACAGGTGAGCGAGGCAGTCGCCGCGCAGGCTGCCGACCGCGATCGTGGCGCAGGCGGCGAGTGCTTGAAGCCCGCACGCTTTGGTGGTGTCGCGCCATGGTGGTGTTGTGACAAAGTGTGATAGAGCATGCGTCCCTCGTGGAGCAGCTTCTGGTGCACCTCCTCGCTTGCCAGCCCCTTATTTGCTCGGCGACTCCTCACTGCCGTTTCGCACATGTTCACTGCAGATCGCCACTTCCAGGGGCCCTTCTGGTCCTAATTACGAGTACGTGTACAAGCTTGCGGGCGTTATGAGAGCAATGGGTGTGGAGGATGCGGAGCTGTTTCAGCTGGAGGAGCACGTCAGGCAGCTTGTGCAGCTTGTGCAGCAGCAGCAGCAGCAGCAGCAGCAGCAGCAGCAGCAGCAGGAGCAGGAGCAGCAGCAGCAGCAGCAGCAGGTGAGCGACGCTCATGGGCCGCAGCTCATTAGCAGCGTGGAGCAAGGGAAGCTTGGTGGCGATCATCACGCAGGGACAATACAGCTTGAGGCGGTGTCGCGTACGAGCATGCCGGCTTCTCACAGTGCAGCGTTCCTGCAGTGGCTGCAGCCATCGTCAACAGAGGCTTGAGCGCTGGCTCTGTACATCATGACCTGCATGTGAACTTCGATTGAGTTGTATTGTAAAAATGAGGAGTTCAGGATGAGACACTGCGCGTCTGGTGGCAATGGGCCTGCGTCTGGGCGTGCCCTGGACAAACATGCGCTTGCGTTGTGGCGGTGCCGCCATGAGCAAAGCACGCCCAGCACGTGAAGCAAGCAAACGGCTTTGTTGCCACGCAGCTCTGCACCAAATACATTTCGATGCTCACGACATTTTTGGACATCACTCGCACACCACGTCAGTGACGCCTGCCAAGCAGGGCAACATACAGATCAGGCGGGGCGGGCTCCACAGAGGTGCTATCAGAAGGGAGACAAGTTTGACACCTGTAAACATCTTGCTGCAATGGCGGACCCCACTGCCGCGCCTATGTAGCAAGTAGCCTTGATGCAGGACGTCAATGGATGGCTGAAGAAGCAGCGGGAAGCCATCAAGTTACTAGAAGATGGTCTGATAGAGGGCAATAACGCGCTCCAAGCAAAGTGAGGCACGGCCGTGCTGCGCCAAGTCAAACGCGCTGGGGCGACAGCAGAGGTGTCGACGCTCAAGCAGCATGGCACGTGGCCGGGGCTGGGCGCATCGCCGACACTTTCTCCCACCTGCATGCTTCCTTTGCGGTTTTGCCGGGCTTCTTACATGGACTTAATCGCTGTGCATCACGCAGGGATGCTCGCATACAGCAGCTCGAGCGCGAGAACGCCCTGGCGGGGGACGAGCTCAAGCAGCTGCGTGCGGACGCGACGCAGGCGGCCAGCCTGCGGGGACAGCTGCAGCAGCAGCTGCAGGGCGCCACAATCGACTGTAACACCGCGCAGCTCGACGCCAGCTCGCTGCGCCAGCAGCTGGAGCAAGCCCGCGCTGCGGCGGCCGCGGCGGCCGCTGCCCAGCAGCAGCAGATTGCGGCGCTGCAGCAGCAGGTGGCGGCGCTGCAGACGCAGGTGGAACAGGCGCGTGGCGAGGCGGCCGGCGCGGCCGGTGCACTTGTGCTGGTGGAGCGCCTTCAGCAGCAGCTGAGCCAGGCGAACGACGACGCGGCGCGCCTGCAGGCAACCAACTCGCAGTACGCCCGCCAGCTGCGCGCTGCGGCCGCGGCGCGGCAGGGCGCGGAGGACGCGCGTCAGGCGGCCGAGGCGGCGGCGGCTGAAGCGCAGCTGCGGCTGGGGCGCGCGCAGGAGCAGGTCAAGAATGCGCCCTTCGAGCTCGCAGAGCGCACCAGCCTGAGGGAGCACGTGCGCGGCCTCAAGGCGCTCCTGGTCGAGGAGCAGAAGCGGGCCTGCGAGCTGGAGCGCCAGCTCAGGGGCGCGGCGGAGGGCGCGCAGCTGCTCACCCCCGAGCCCGGCGGCGGCAGCGCGGAGCAGCGGCCGGGCGGCGGGCACGACTTGCGGTGGTACAAGATCCGGCACAACAAGCTGAAGCAGGAGGTCGAGGTGCTGCGGCGCGCGCTGCAGGTGCGCGACGCCGAGCAGCCGCCGGCTGGCGTACGTCCCAGCAGCCACGGTGGCAGCAACGGCAGTGGCGGCGGCGGCGGCGGCGGCAGCAGCGGCGGGGTTGTGATTGGAACTGCGGGGCTCCCTGAGCATGTACAGCAGGCGCAGCGACAGCGCGGCAGCAGTGGCGGAAGGCCTCTGGACGAACAGGAGGAAGCTGAGGACGAGGACGAGCAGCAGCATCCTGGCGCGGCAGTCCTGGCAGCAGTAGCTGCAGCAGCGGCAGCCGCGCGCACTGCGCAAGCGGCTGCTGCACGGGCCGCGCAGGGCGTCCCCCGCACTACAGCAGCAGCTGCAGCAGCACCATCAGCAGCAGCATTAGCAGCCGCAGCAGCACCACCACCACGGGATGGTGCATTTGCCTCCGCTGCGTCGGACCCACCCGTTTGCACAGTCGCAACACCCGCCACTCATGCCCAGCCTGCCACCGGGCCGCAGCAGCGGGGGGCGCAACACGAGGTCTCAGCGTCGGCGGACTCGCCTGCGCGTGACGGCTTACCGAGCCATCAGCAGGAACCTCAGGAGCGGGGGACTCCCCAATCTCGTCAGAGGCAGCGGCCAGCGGCACGACTTGCGCAGCCAGTCAAGCGGCTTAGGCTCGAGCAGCGGCTGGAGGGCATGCCTGAACTGCAGCAGCTGGCCACAGACGACACGACCGCGCCCGACGGCAGCGACCAGCGCCCTGCTAGGCTCGTCAGCCCGGCGGACGCCGGCCCTGGCGCCTGCTCTGACGGTGGCTGTGGCACGCAGCCGGGGTCGGACGAGCCGCCGTCGGACGAGCCGCCCTGGGCGTCTCCGCGCAGCGTCGAGCAGCTGCCGCGCCACCGGGCATCTCAAGCAGCGGCCACGGCGGCGCCAGGCGCCGTAGCAGCGGGAGGAGAGGATGGGGCAGCGGTGCGCTCAGGCGGCGCGGCGCAAGTGCTGAGAGGTGGAGGCAGGCAGGCATTTGACGCTCCGCCACAACAGTGCGAGGTTTTGCCCGGCATGCAGCAGGCGGGCAGCAGCGCAGGCGCGCTGGGTGTAATTCACGGCCAACAGGCCAGGGGCGCCGCGATTCTCTTTGGTCATCCCGGTGCAGGAAGCGGCGGAGGCCTGGCCGTGCGCAGGCTACCTGGTAGTACGCCAGTAGCCCCACCCATGCAGCCGCAGCCGCTGCAGCAGGAGCAGCAGCAGGAGCAGCAGCAGCAGCAGCAGCAGCAGCAGCAGCAGCAGCCACGTCAGCAGCAAGAGCAGCAGCAGCAGCAGCAATGTCAGCAGCAGCAGCAGCAGCAGCCACGTCAGCAGCCGTTGAGCGCGCGCCTGCTTCAGCGGGGTCCGGGGTCGTCGGCGCAGCAGCTGCCGCTGAGCGCACCTGCGCGGGTGCTCCTCCAGCAGCAGCAGCGACAGCAGCAGCAGCAGCAGCAGCAGCAGCAGCAGCAGCAGCCCACCTACAAGTTCAACGAGGTGGTCCGCGGCCGCGCCGCGCGCGACGCGCTGCCGGCCTTCTCCTGCCACGCGTGCCGCGCCTGGTATGAGGCCATCCATTCATGGGGCGCCTCGCAGGGCGGCCTCCCCGAGCCGGTGCGGCCGCGCTGCGGCCACCAGGACGCGTTGCCGCGGGGGCTGCCAGGAGCGGACCAAATACTGCAGCACGTGTCGCGCCACAGGGCGCGCTTTGCGCGGCCGGAGACGCAGGACGGGTACTGGGACCTGGGTTTCATGGACTCCCTGGACTCGAGATACGTGGAGCAGCAGCAGGTGGCCGCGCAGCATAATCGGCAACGTGCAGAGCAGCAGGAGGCAGAGGATGGCGACATGCAGCACCTCCCGGACCCGTTGCCTCTTGCATGAACACTGCACGGTTGGGGAGTGCAACAGGAATTATTGCAGCGTGTGCTTGTTACCTCCTCACATGGTTGTGGACGACAGGTCAGCGCGCCATCATGGCTTTTTCAAGAGGGTAATCTTCACACGAGTTGGCACGGGATGCTACGCTCGCATTGTTTCGAAGAGGCGAAGTGTATAGTTCCCTGTGATAGTTTTTCAGTGGCATGGCAGGTGCACTGCTTCTTGAAAAGCATGTGTTGGCCATGAAGTAGTGTTACAGACGCAATTTGAAAGCGTGCTGCTCACTCGTGTTGACAAGCTTGTTTCTCAGCACCTCCAGGCACATTCCGCAACGGCGTGTCACCAGTGCGGGCCACACACGTCAAGCGCCTGACGGGCAGCAAGGGCTCGTAGCCACATGTGAATCATGGGATCGCTGGGCTGAGTGGCAAAGTGGTCTTCAGGTGATGCATCGCCTGGCGTGCATTAGGGCGGAGGGCGCATCCATGCATGCCATCATGCCATTCCTAGCAACACCCTGTCGTGCCCATGGAAGGCTCGAGCCCATGAGGCATCTAAGTGGCCCACAACCTCAATTTGTGTAGAACATGTGCGAGAAAATCCTGAACTGCTCGCACACTCCCTCGTGCCCCTCACCCAACGGCGCCCGATCGTGTCCGTGACCCAACAGCACACCTGGTCAAAGCGGTGAGTCGGCTTCGCGACCAGCTTGGCGGGAACCGGGGTGCGAATGCTCCCGGGTTAAGAGCATCAGCAGGATGGCAGAGGATCTAATAATCAGAGCTTTGTGTGGGGCGTCGGGATGCGGGCCTGTTGCCACGTCAAGCTAGCCGCGGCGACGTGCAATTCAGCAATGGGCCGTCGCGCGCGGCCGGACAGCATAAGCCCTCAGCCATCAGCTGTGGCCCTTTCAGTGCATCATATCATCTCCATATATCTCGAGTTATTTCAATTCATTTTGCCTTGCACGTAATAGCGCAAACGCATTTCGGAGCCCGTCACAGTTGGATGGGACTCGGACAGCACACCCGACAGCAGGCTCCCGCGCCCTAGCAACACCGCTCTGCCCGTGTGATGACAAGAACTTCTACACACTCATGACTTGTTTGTTAATAGGCAGAAGCACCAGGCCCGCACGACCACCTTGGCTGCACATTCCGATCATCGTTCTTGCAGTCTCGTCGCTCCTCGGGCCCTCGCTCGCGGCAGCAGCCATGAACTTGACACAAAGATCATGCACGTACGCCGGGCCGTACTCGCTGCTGCTGCGCACACCCGCGTGCTTCATGGGCCCACCACGGAGGAGGTCAACTCCTCTTGGGAGGCCCTGCGGGCCAGAGCTGTGCAGCCTGCGTGGACCTGGTCCCAGCATGCTCCCGCGGCCGCTGCCCATGGACGCACCGTGCGACACGCCGCGCGCGAGCCCGGTGGCGACGGGCGCAGCGGGCGCACGCGCGTCCGCGTCGGCGCCAGTGAGCCACGGCGAGGCGGAGAAGTGGTGGAAGAAGGACTCGGAGCTCTGGGTTGACTGCCACACAGAGCAGGAGTTTGAGCAGGCGGTCACAACGGGCGATCGGCTCGTGCTTGTTGGTGGGTGTGCGGCAGGGAATCTGGCGTCACTCCGCAAAACGCGGTCCGTTCTGTGGCTGCATGCTGCCGCATGAGCTAGACCTTGCGGGTTGCGGCCTTGGCTTGCCCCTAAATCCACCTCCATGGCCCCATCAGCTGCTGCGGAGCAGCGCGAAGACACACCATGCGCCACCGGCAGGCCAATGCGCGCGCCTGGCGGCGGTCCCCCAACCCCCAACGAGCCACCCATGCCCATGCGGCACCGCCCATGCGCGCAGACTTTTTTGCGACCTGGTGCAATGGCTGCCAGCGCTCTTACCCTGAGCTCTGCAAGTACGCCAAGGACCCCGAGCTGTCGTCACAGGTCAAATTCGTCAAGGTGCGTGCAGCAGCCGGACCCTGTGGCATCTTTTGCATGGGGTCCCGCCCGAGCCAACAGCGGCAGGCTGCGCCAGCCAATGGGCTGCTTGCCCACCATGTGCTGGAAAGAGGGTGGCCGTGGCTGTCGAAGCATCACAGGTTCTGCCGGGTCAGAAAACGGGCATGGCCTCAAGCCATGGGGTTGTCAGCAGCAGGCGCATGCGGTAGACTGGCAAACCTGCATTTCTATGGTCATCCCTGCGCCACCCCAAGCCGTTTCCCCTTCTGTGCCGCCGCCTGACCCCAGGTATGCATTGAGGAGCTCAAGCGGCCAGCCAAGGAGGCGGGCATCAAGTCGCTACCGCATGCGGTGGTCTATGACCCAAAGCGCGGCAAGCTGGTGGGCATCGACGTGCCGCCCTCCAAGGTCAAGAACCTGAAGGTCAACCTCATGGTGAGGTGCTTCTGCTGTGTTGTTACAGAGCAGGGTCGTGATTGTGGTTGTATGAGGAGAAGGGTCCGCCCTGGCGCGCTGAAGAGACAGGCTGTGCAGGCCTTTCTGCAGGCGTTGGCCGCAGCACAGGCAACCCCAGCAGCAGGCAGCCTTCGTCATCCCCTCTGCCAATATGCATTCTACCCCTTTTTGAAAGACTCAACTTCCCTCCCAAGGGTCAACTTCTTCTGATGTTTGAAATCCCTCCGTCCCCCACACGTGAACACCAGGTGATCCTCAAAAACCGCAGCATGGACTTCAAGTTGGACCCCAACGGCTTCGTGATCCCCGTGCCCCCGCAGCCCAAGGGCGCGCAGGAGGCCGAGGCCGCCGCCCGCCGCGCCGCCGCCGCCGCGCTCGAGTCCGCGACCACGGGGCTCGGCGCCAAGCTGCTGCAGGGCGTTGAGGGCGCCGCGGCGGCGGCGGCGGCGACGGGGGCGGCGGTGGCGGACGCGGTGGCCACGACGGCGGAGGCGGCGGCGCCGCTGGTGGCGCCGGCGGACCCCGTGCTGGCCGCGGCCAAGGCGGAGTTTCTCAAGCGGTTCGGGTCGCGGTACGGCTACAGCGGCCGTATTGACGCGCTGTACCCAGCAGAGGTGAGGGTTCATGGTGTTACGCTTTGCTGGGGGATTCCTCGCCGTGCCGGTATCGATCATCTGCACAGCCGCACAGTGCCTGCGTTGCAGGCGGCCCGCCGACACCACCCGGACTCCTTGTCGTTTGTCGTTCGCCAGCAATGCGCTCGGACGCTGCGCACGCCGCGCGCTCAGTTGCGCGTTCCTGGGCTGACTGCCTGGAGGCCCAAACGCCCTGAACCCTAACCCCGCTTGGTTTCTGGTGACCTCTGATCAGGTGGGGTCCCGCATGGAGCCGCACGAGCACTACCTGGACTACACCGGCAGCAGCGTCTACGCCAATAGCCAGCTGGAGGCGATCTTCAGGGAGCTGCGCGGCCACCTGTTCGGCAACCCCCACAGCGCCAACCCCTCGTCCTCGTTCGCCAGCGAGAGGGTGGAGGCGGCGCGAGACCTGGTGCTCAAGTGAGGGCGCGCGCGCGGGTGTGTGTGTGTGTGTGTGTGTGTGTGTGTGTGTGTGTGCGTGCGTGTGTGCGTGTGCGTGCACCATGTGGGCCAGGTTGTGACTACCAGCCGCTGTGCATTGATCCTACGCCCAGCCTCTGGCCGGGCCGGGGCCAAACCGCACCTCCCGGCATTCAAACCGCGGCGCGCGACAGGTGGTTCAACGCGGACCCCGCGGAGTACCAAGTTGTGTTCACGCGTTCCGCCACCGACGCGCTGAAGATCGTGGGGGAGACCTACCCCTGGGGCCCCCAGTCCGAGTTTGCTTACCTGCGGGAGAACCACAACAGCGTGCTGGGGGTCAGGGAGTACGCAATGGCGAAAGGCGGCAGGTGGGCGGGCGCGCGTGCGTGCCTTGGGGACTGCGATTTGCAAAGCATCCCTCCCAGCTCGCTGGCTGTCTGAGAGGGTTTCTTGTTTCTGATTTTGGGGCGGCTATCTAGAGAGAGAGAGCCTGCAGGGCGTGGGAGTGAGCGGTGGCCGGCGTTGGCTTGCCGCCAAGGGGGGCAGTTTTAAGGACCGTGTGTGTGTGTGTGTGTGTGTGTGTGTGTGTGTGTGTGAGCGGGGGAGCGTGCGGGCTGAGAGGCTGCCGCCACGCGGGTCCTATCGGCTGCTGGGATCGCAGGACGCGTTGTCTGGGCGAAGGGCCGAGTTCTTCGCAAGCGCCGGGTCCCTTCTGAAGCTTTGAGCATGCAAGCACACCGCACACCCTCACGACCGCGGTTGACAGTGACAAACACCCACTCGGCTGCGCAGGTTCCACGCCGTGAACGAGACGAGTGTGGAGTCGTGGGTGCGGGACAGCAGCGGCGCCGACATCACAAAGTTCCTGGACGCCACCTCACTCAGCAGCGGGCGGCGGCAGGTGCGCGAGGCGGCGCACCTTCGCGCCCAATCCAGTCAGCCAGCATGCTGGGCATGGCTGCCTTGGCCCGCGCCGAGCAAGAGGGCCCTCGGCCTGTGCCACCGGAGGGGACCTCGGTCCAAGCGCGCGTGCGCGCGCACGCGCGGCGCGCGCGCCGTGGTGGGTGATCGCGTTTTCCTCACCGACGCGTCTCGTCACACGTGCAGGTGCCTCCTCCCGAGGACGACGACGGCACCGTGAATAACCTGTTTGCCTTCCCGGCAGAGGACAACTTCGCAGGTGAGCTTCAAGTAGGCTGAGAGCCCCTTGTACAAGCGCACTGTCCGCACGCAGGCGTCGGCTCCCACGAGAGCTGCGGGCGGCCACGTACATGCATGGGCGCAATGATACAACCTGCACCGGGCCCGCGCCAAAATTGACCACAACGGCGGCCCTCGACCTCGTTTGCATGCAAACAAAAGGTATTGGTCTCACCCACATCCTGAGATACAACGCCCCTCCCCTCACCTGGCCACAATCGCAGGCGTCAAGTACCCGCTGTCCTGGATCAACGCAGTCAAGGCCAAGTCGCGGCCGGGGCGGCGGTGGCGGGTGCTGCTGGACGCGGCGGCCTACGTGCCCACGCAGCCCCTGGACCTCAGCAGCGTGCGGCCCGATTTTGTGTCCATGTCTTTCTACAAGGTGGGCTGGGCCTCGGGGGGGGGGGCCGATCGCCGAGCACTGCAGAGGGCTTGACAAGGGGGGCAAAATAGGTGCCGCACACAACTGCGGATGTGGGCCATGATTTTTAGTGAAGGTTGTGTTCGAGGACGGGGTGCTCAGGGAAGGGGCTGTGTGGGCGGGGCTTCGAGCTGCCCCGAAGAGAGCGCAGGCGTGGCGTTGGTCGGGGTATCTGCGCTAACCAGTGATGTCCGTATCCCATAGCTGCTGAGCTGCAGGGTGTGTCGTACCACCCCAATTGTTCAACAAGGCCCCATCACAATCGCGGCGCCGTGCCCTCCACCTCCTTCCATTTGACGCCCCCTCACCCCTCACGCCTCAATCCTCACCCCTCACGCCCTCAGATCTTCGGCTACCCGACGGGCCTGGGCGCCCTCATCGTGCGCGTGGACGCCGCGGCAGACCTCAAAAAGGTGACGCCCGCACCCGCCCCCTTCCACCCCCTCCCCCTTGCAAACAGCACCTCACGACACACGCTCGCGCATGCCGCACTGCCAGCGCCCCCACGCCGCCCACCCCCCCTCTTCTTGCAAACCCGCCTGCACAACTGCCCCCGTCTGTCCCTCTCCTGCGCGACTGAATAACACCCCCCGCGCCAGATGTTCTGGGGCGGCGGCAGCGTGGCGCTGGCGACCAGCGCGGGCGACTTCCACGTGCTCAAGTGCCGGCCCAGCGAGATGCTGGAGGACGGCACGGTCAGCTTCCTGGACATCGCGGCGCTGCGGCACGGGTTCGACCTGATGACAAACCTGGGGGGCACACACGCGATACAGGTGAGGGGCGAGGGTGTGTTTCAAACGCATGTGTGTGCGTGTGTGTGGTGTGTTGTATGCGTGGCGTGTATATCTGTGTGAGTGAGCCTGGGAGAGAGTGAGTCTGGGAGAGAGTGAATCTCACTCTCTCCCAGACTTGTGTGTGTGGGTGCGTGGATGCGTGCGTGCGTGCGTGCGTGCGCGCGTGTGTGTTGTGCGTGCGTGCGTGCGTGCGTGCGTGCGTGCGTGTGTGTGTGTGTGTGTGTGCGCGCGCGCGCATCCATCGCCTTGTCACCTCAATCCTGAACCCGCTACCCTGTACCCCCCGCGCAGGGCCACGTGGAGTCCCTGCGCGCGTGGACCCACCAGGCCCTCATCAGCCTGCGCCATGCCAACGGGCAGCCCGTGGTGGCCCTCTTCGGGAAGCACCACCTGCCGGAGGCCGCCAAGGTGCAGGGCGGCATCTTCAACTTCGCGCTGCTCAAGCCCGACGGCTCACGTGAGTCTCACCCGCGCGACGCAGGTGTTTTTGGGAGGGGGAAACGGGGCGGGGCGAGCACCCGCGCGCCTGCAACCGCTTGCGGCATATGTGATTCGAAAAAACATACGTTTACAATCGCTTCTGAATCTATCCGCCCCCGCAGTCTTCTCCTACAAGTCGTTCGAGGTCGCCGCCGCGGAGGCCGGCCTCCACGTCCGCACCGGCGCGGAGTGCAACCCTGGCGCCTGCTACGCCTACCTGGGGGTGGCCGAGGCCGAGGTCGAGGCGCTGGCTGGCACCAAGGAGGGCTGCCATGACGACGTGGAGTATGCGCACGTGGCGCGGGCGGTTGTGCCGGCCATGCACGGCGCGGTGGAGAGCATGGACATGGCGGACGGGCGGCACGTGCGGATGTGAGC